GCCAGCTTAAAGAACTGTATTCAGTAAGTAGACTATGAGCTGGTGCTATGACAGCTTTGATTGCTGTAATGACTTTGTTAGGGGAACATTGATAACCATAAAAACTAGAGCTAAGTAGGACCCTGAACTCATGCGTAAAATTTACTTGCTTTCTGGATGGATTCTGGCCCAGAGATCTAAAGTTCATACAGTTGGTAGCAAACAGCAGGATGGGGAAAAAAGTAGGAATAAAGGTATAGCAGATTATAAGGGGACTTTTGAACAAAGTAGTTTAGAGATGTATCTGGTGGTAAAAGGCCTGTAATCCCAGTTTCTTGAAAGGGCTTTCTAGGATACAAAGTGAATACAAGGCTAGTTTCAGCAACTTAGCAAGACCTTATTCCCCAGTCTCACAAAAAATAGTAAAAACGGGGTTGGGAATATAGCTTGAGTAAGATGACACCCTGAGCTTCCCAGCACTAGAAAGTAATCCTAGGTATATGACATCAAGTAGAACTCAGTATTGGATGGCTATGCCTAGGGCTAAGGAATGTTGTTACATCTCTTAAGATTTTGACTTGTTCATCTGCCTCTTGTTGGCTCTACAAAAGCATTCCAGTTTGCCCTAGATGTGATTTGAAGACTCAATGAGAATAGATTATGGCTTCAATTTTTCTTTTCCAGGCTGGGAACCTGACAGTGCTATCAACTGACCCTCTGCTTCACCAAGATTCAGTTCAGTTAGATTTCCACTTTCATCCCACTCCCCATTCCTCTGCTCATTGGCATGGTCTTCTGTGTGACCATCGACTCTTCCTGGATATCCCATATCAGGCCTTAGATCACGGCAACCGAGAAAGGTGAGGAGCTGGGTGGGTGTGGGGAAGAGATGGGGTATTCCACCTTTATCATGTCACAGTGACTTAGGATCTGGGTCAGACACAGCATGCTAGTAACACACAGATAAGATCTTGGGGTTCGAGGAATAATTTTAGGTTGAGGGCCAGTTGCTGAACTCAGAACACCAAAGTGAGCATCCAAATAGCTGAATACATTTTGCTGCTCAGCAGTCCCTTCAAATGTGACCCCTTCTGTGACATATACCTCAGTCGGGTAGAATCCCTTGGTTTCAGAGAATAGCCACTTAAACTCCATTTGCAACTTATAATTTCCCAGTTTCTGCAGGTATAGAGCAAAACACTCACCAGTACTTCTCCTGCTCTGACTTTCTAGAGTTAGCTAAGCATTAACTTTCTTTCTGGTCTCTAGTTTGACAGCAACACTGGAGTATGTGGAGGAGAAGACCAATGTGGACTCTGTGTTTGTGAACTTCCAAAATGATCGGAAGGACAGAGGTGTGCTTAGGCTTCTTGGGATAAGTCCCTCCTCTCTGGCATTTCAGCACCCGTGTCCCCACTTCTACTGCAAAGGAAATGAAGGCACACAGCATTCTATTCTGTCCCATTACAACTGGATTAACAAGAAGCCCCTGTAGGTGGTATCAGGCACAAGGCTGGGAGCACTGGAGAAATCACACAGGATCCATTTCAGGATGTCTTGTGGTAGACTGATAAAAGGTGTCAAGAAAATGTACCAAGCCTTCACAGTAGGAAAGGATATGTGTAAAAGGCTACAAGGACAGGAACATATTTAACCAGATGCAATATGTTAGTGTTATCTTTGAGTTTATACTCTGCTGGATATAAGATAAGATGAACGGGGCCATGGTGGTATAAGCCAGTGTCCTAGCATTTGGAAATCTAGGGCACGAGAATTCGACACTCAAGGTCAGATTGGTTACATAGTGAGATCTCAAAACAAAATAAACAGATGCTGCTCAATTGCCAGCAATAACAGATACCATTTTAGAGCTTAGAATGCCATCATTGCACTAAGTGCTTGAACAATCACATCTTAAATCTGTGAGGAAGTTTCTCATGCCCACTTTACAAACAAGTAAACTGGAGCTCTGAAAGGTTAACTCAAATGTTAATGTGAACACTAAGGTAGGGTAGGCCTGTGTCTATCACTCCAAAGCACACCCTAAGCCCTCTAAGCCCGCACTACACTGCTTTCCAGAGTCACTCCCTGAAGAAAACAAATCAGAGTTACATGGGCTGAGCTTCAGTGGATGTGCTAATCTTTTGTTCTGTTCTACAGGTGCCCTGCTTCGAGCCTTTAGCTACATGGGCTTTGAGGTGGTCAGACCAGATCATCCTGCTCTCCCTCCGTGGGACAATGTCATCTTCATGATGTATCCCCTTGAAAGGGACCTTGGCCAGCCTGGCCAGTGAGCCTCCCTAAACATGTTTATTCCATCTCTGTGAGGGGTTGGAAACCTTAACACACGGGACTCTGGGGCCCAGGATGTGATTTGAGACACCTCCATCCTAGGAAATAAAGGGTAGTGCAATCAAAGTGTTCACCATTTCTTGGCGGCGGGGGTGAGGGGTGGGGGGGTATTGGAATGGAATATGAACTTGCCAGAGATTAATTAACTGCAGAACATACTTAATGACTGAAAAAAATCAGTGACCTGAGTCAGACATGGGAGGGCTCCTTTTGTCTTCTTGTCCCTAAACCATTTTCCATTACCATTTACTGAGCACCTGCCAAGATCAATTACCAGTCAACTACAAAGTACACAGAGACTAAGCCTTGCTAGAATGCATTCATATATTTCAATTCAAACTAGACAAGTGCAAATTTCTCTTTGGAGGTGAAGAAAACCAGAAAAAGTGTATACATCCTAAGGGATAGTATTACAACTGAAACAGAGTATTCCAGACAGCAGCAAATACTGGGGTGTACTGGAAAAATGGCAGGGGACTCAAGACATAATGGACACATTAAAGGAATAGGGATTTGAGACAGGTCTCATGTAGCCCAGGCTGGCCTCAAACACACTAGAGAGGGACCTCACATTCAAATGCTGAAAAGAGGCAAGTGCCATAATTGTGTTTAATTTTTATTTTTAGGTGTGTGCATGTTTGCCTACTTGTATATAGGTACACTATGTGCATGCCTATAGTGGGAAATTACAAATACGGAGTCAGGTAGAAATATAAGGGTATTTAATAGGGAAAAGCCTTACAGAGCGACCTAGCCAGCAGGTGGGTTAGCAGCCTGTACAGAAAGGACGAAAGAGAAACCGAAACACTACATCACTCTGACCACGCCCTCACAAGCATGGTCAGGTACACCTGTAGCCAGCCCCTAAGAAGGCGTGGCTACAGCTTCCCCTACAAATGCCTGGTACCCACAGAGGTTAGAAGAGAGCACTAGATCTCCTGGGACTGGAAGTACAAGATGGTTGTGAGCCACCATGTAGGTGTTGGGAGCTGGACTTGGGCTCTCTGCAAGAGTAGCCAATGTTAACCTTTGAGCATCTCTCCAGCCCCAAACAATTGGTTTTAATGAGCTTTTATATGATGAACTGCAAGTCCTATGACCTCTATCCCTGAGGGAAGCATTGAGGAAAAGTAGGACTAATGGCTCCAGACCCTGTTATATAGTAACTCCAATGCCAGATTGAGCATGTCAGTGATTCACCATGGCCGGAACATTAATAGACTGTGTAGGTTCCTCCAGGACCTACAGGTTCAAGAATTTTGAATTTAGGATATTGTAAATGACGGAGGTGCTATACCAATGAGCTACCCTTGTCTTTTCTCACTTTTTGAAATAGCATTTTACTAAGTTGTTCAGGCAAGATTTTTTAAACTTTCAGTTTCCTGCCTTGGCCTCAAGTAGCTGGGGTTTTAGGCCCAGGCCTAGCTACTAACCCTAGAGACCCATGTATTCATTTTAGGTATCCCAGTTTATCTCACCTTGTTTCCTAACCATTTATTACACTATTGTACATTCATATTTAATTGTAAGTACTGTCAAGATTTTCAATGGAGTCTTATAATACCATCACCAATGGAGAGATGGTTATTATAAGACACCTCAAGTCTTTCAGTAAGTTTACAGTGAAGATCTACTTCTAGAACACATGTTTCTGGAGTCCTAATCCAGGCCTTCTCACAGTGTAGGTGGGGTATGTATAGGTGAAACTGGTTATGGTTCTGAGGGAGTAGCTGACTTTCATAACCTTAGGGGTAGAATGTGAATGTTTTATATGGGAAAGACCCTTCAGAAGATGGGCTTCTAAATGTGAGGTAGCTGGCAATTACTACCAAGATTTACTCAGATTCTGAGACCTTACCCACAGGCCTACTTCCAAGTGATGAAGAGTATATGGTTTGAGAAATATATCAGCAAACAATCCTCCAAGCAGAAGTACATTCTTTTTATTTCTCTAGATGTGTATATACAGACACATACTGGAAATTTTACATTTCCTAAGTTGACACTCCATTTCTTCTACTTGTATTAAACTAAAGTTCATAAAGAAATACTGAAGGACTGTTTAAAAAAAAAACTTATCTTCAATAACCTCAGCAGTGGAGGGTGAGAGGTAGCACTCCCCTCTCCATGAGACCTTTATATTTATGCTGATTTTTCCCTTTGTCTTCTGACAACTGCAGTCTTCAGAGTCCAAATACTGATAAGGTGGGTCAGGAATCCACAGAATCATCACTTCCCGTGCCCAAACTCTGGCTGTTTCCCAGCCTCAGAAAGAATGCAGTCCAGCAGTAATGCAAATTACTGGCAGGAGAATGAACCTCATATGAAGAGGCTTGGAATTACACAGCAGCATCCCAAACATTGAAAGGTGGGGGAGGAACCAGCCGTGAGAAATGTGTCTCCATCTGTCACTTTCTGGTAGGTTCAATGGAACGGAAAAATGGGTTTGATCCATAGCAAGCCATGCCATGGATTTCTGTATATCATAGACTCCTCTCTCCTGGCACCAAATCCTGCCAAAGAAAGAGCAAGTTAAGCTACAAAGATGCTGCAGAGAAAGAAACACAAAAGAGAGAGGGAAGAGGAAATAAAGGCCCTTATGAGTTTTTTGTTGCTACAGACTACTCACAGCAAAGCAGATGGCTGGTCCAGTAGCTGCAGCCCAGACTTCAGAATAAGTCATCTTCAAGGTTATCATCACCAGACACGGAGGCAGCTTCTAGTAGTGAGCAGAAACAAGAACATGGTATTGCGTTATTCCAGCAGGACTGCCAGCGAAGATCAGCAGGAAAATGGGCGGTTGGTGCTCAAGGTCCTAAAGGCCAAGTGGCTTTCTGTTTTTAGACAGAGTTGCATGCAGTGCAGGCTGGCCTCAAACTCTATTGAGCCAAGTATGACCCTGACTTCGGATGCTCCTTCCTCCACTTACCAATGATAGAATTATAGGCATGTATGCCTCCACAGTTTTATGAAGTCCCGGGGATCTAATCCAGGGCTTTGTGCATGTTAGTCAAGTACTTTACCAACCAAGTCACATTCCCCAGTCCCAAAACTGAGCTGTAACTGACCTCCCTAATCTGGACAGACTAAGAAAAAGTAACTTTCACAAATGCTGTAAGACAGCATTGCTGTTTGTACCTGATAAGCTGAGGCAGGACAGGGTATGTGGTAACTCTTCAGGGCTCTTTTTGGTCTCATTGAGTATGCTGGCAAGAGAAGCATCTGTTTCCGTGGCCTTAGGGCATAGAAGAGAAAAAGAAAACTGGTGGGAAGGGAGAAGCCTGCCTGTCATTTTGATCATAGGTTTCACTATTTAGAAAGACACAATGTCTTTGATCCATTTTTAATCAGTCTGGAAAACGAAGTAGTCTAAAGGTTCTCATGATGGCATAAGCTTCATCTCATTAAAGTTGGTGAAATGGGGCTAGAGATGACTCAGTGGTTAAGAGTACACATTACTTTTCTGGAGGACCCAAGTTGGATTCCCAGCACCCACGTAAGATGCCTTACAACCTCCTGTTACTTCACCTTCAGGAGATTCAATGCCTCTTGGGCATTCACACACTTGACATACACTATAAAGACACACACACATACATGTGATTAAAAAAAATAATTGTTAGAGACTACAGATATGGCACAGAAGTTAGAGCACTGGCTGCTCTTCCAGATGACCCAGGTTCAGTTACCAAACTCTACATGGCAGCTCACAACTGTCTCTAAGTCAAGTTCCAGGGATACCAACACCCTTCTGGCTTCTTCAGGCACTACATGCATGTGGTGTAAAGATACACATGTAGGCAAAACACACATATGAAAAGAATCTTCAAAAATTGATAAATGGGAAAAAAAGAAAAAAATTGATAAAAATGTATCACTAAGTGCCACTAGGCACTTGATATTTCTGGAAGAAGCACCTTAAATGACTACAGAAACTCACCATGTCCTTCAACATATCTGGGACAGTTCCATCTTCCACATCTTCAGGAAGCTCAACTGCATATCCTTTACGCACTAATTCTAGCCCAATATCAAGTTTCTGAAAAGGAAAAATGAGAAAGCAATGATGCTCTGTTGTAAGGGAAAATAGGGTGAAATGGTCAGTAGATCTTTCAGAGTAGAAGTGATTATCAGATAAAGGTTTCTGGGAAAGAAAATATAGATGATGCAGCAAAGCAATGCATGAACCTCATCCTTACCTTCCCATTACTGGTATCATATAAATAGATTTTTGGCCAAGTTGAGATTCCAGTCTGGACATAGCTAGAGATCTTGGCCACCAATGGCTTCCAGTCAGCACAGTGAGTGAGTCTGTCAAACTCATCTAGAGCTTCCTCTTCCCACTGTTCACCTGGAAGATCATAAGGGAAAAGAAGGGCTAAGCCTTAGGGCTGATAACAGGAATACATCCAGGATATATCCCAGGAATGAATGTTCTTATGCTCTCCCCAGGAATGTACTTATAGTCTTTTTCTGGTGGGTTTGGATCTGACTGCCAAGCAAGTTTCTGTCTTGCTTTCTAGGGCTGATAAGGAAAAGTCTCCAGAACTCAAAAAGCTTGGGAAGTGAGATTTCTTCTTACATGCTGTGTGAGAGCTACTGTTTGGAGGTAAAGGCAATAGGTGACATGACTGGGTTACCTGAGGGGGCGATTCGTGCCAGACTACATTCTATTGCTTGAAAGGGAAGGCTCAGGAAGTCACTCCTAAAATCAAAGAAACTGAAATTAGAATCCCAGGTGTACACATTTCTTTCTAAATCTCCTTGATATACACCAACAGCTCACTTTATCAGCAGAAGTGAGCCAACAGCTGGGATGCTAGCAGATTCCACACTAGCTCTACACTCACCTGAGAGCCCTGAGATCTTTCAGTGGGCAATCTCCATTATCTCCAAAGTCAACAAAATAGAGGTCCAAGTTCCCATTTTCCAGGGTACCAAGAATCTGGGCTCGATACCAGGAACCATTTGTAGATAAAGGTGCTGCTACAATGTCTCCTACGTGCACAGTCAAGTCTTCAGGCTATACATGGGGATGGGAAGTCAAGAGGGGGTTATTATATGAAGTGGTAGCTAATAGAGAATAACAGAAAGGAACATTTTACAGTGAAAAAGATAAATCCCAGCGTAACCTTCTCCCTATAGCAACTCACCAGACTATTTTCATAGTGCTGGGTCATCTCAATGATAAGTTTATCCAATTGGAGGCTGCGGGAGCCAATGATTTGGATCCAGAAGTGGTTAGGGTGTTCGGAAGCAGAAACGTAGACTTCTAGGTACTCGTCCGCATGGAAACTGAAGTCAGGACTGGGAACTGAACACAGGGTAAGTATGGAGACCATATTAGTAAGTATCATCTTTGGTTGGAATGGGGAGACTGAATCAGGGAGATGAAAGACACAAATACAGTGGCTGTTTACCAGTTTAGAAATGATTAGAGGGATTTGCTGACTCAAATTATCTTCTATATCTTTCTATGTAACCAAGTTGATTTGTTTACACTGTCATTATCCATGAACTCAAATGAGGCAGCAATTACAGTGAAGGTTAAGCCTTCATCTGTTAGGCCTGGCAGGATCAATAAAAAAGGACACAGATACAGACTCTCTGCTACCAGGGATTTATAATGTGAACCTAAGCAAGCTTCTTTTAGGGCTTCTGATCTTGTTCAAACTAGCACCTGTGCATAGAAGAGGAAGCCCATGGCCATTTCACTCTTCAATAATGACATTTAGAAACAGTAATGAAACAGGCAATATAAAAACAAAGTTGAAAATTTCTTATGGAAAAGTATGCCTTAGATATGAGAGTACTTAGCAATAGATAGGCCCAGGCTTAAGGAACACCATGGAAGAGGGGACAGAAAGAATGTAAGTGCCAGAGGGTAAGGAGTGTTGTAAAATGTGGTCTTTTGGACATTACAAGGCATTTGGATACACGAATTCACAGAAGCTGCAGTCACCTACACAAAATCAAGCCAGTTAAAAAATTCCAGCATTGATTGAAGGGCTCCTGAGGCCCTATGTCTGGCTAAGGAAATACTGGCATTGCTAGATGGTAGGGGAAGCAGTCACTTTTCTTTGGGACTGTAGCCACTTGTAGGTTACCCATGCCCAATGGATGGCCCCACACCCATGCAAATACAGGTAGCACTGATTGGACTTAGTGGGTTCTAAAAAATACAGTGAATGGTTCCTGGGGAGCAACATACAAAGCTGTTCATGATTAGTCTCCATCCACATGCATCCACATGTATATCCCATACTCATTGCATGAATATACATATGCATACAAGCATGTGTGCGTGCACATGGATGCACACGCGCACACACAAAATATGTGTAGAGAATAATAAAAATTTAATGATTATTACTCAGATTTTCCTTTGTGAACATTTAATTTTCTACATGGAGGCTAATCATGAACAGCTTTGTATGTTGCTCCCCAGGAACCATTCACTGTATTTTTTAGAACCCACTAAGCTGTACTCAGAAATTATGTTTAGTATTAGCAGAAAGGCATTATCTATGATGACAGATGGAAATTACAAAAACAGAATCTAATTGTTTCCTATTTTAGGTTAGTTAATCTAGTATTCCTATCTTTTAATAAATAGGTTAATAAATAGGCTCTGTCCATTATATACCTTCAAACACGGACGTCTCTGGACTGTTTTGGGCACCAGAATTCTTTAGGCTGTCATCATTAGGTTTCTCCCAGGAACCTTCTTTTGGTCCTGCAGCAACCATATCACCACCACCTTTGCGGAGAGGAACCTCCAGGGGTACAGCTGGCCCCATGCTAGAACCGGTATTCTTCCATAAAGCTGCTTCACCAGCTCCACCTGGCTCCATCACTTCTTCTCTTCTCACACTGATTGGCTGCTTTCGTGGAACTCTGGTTTCTGCAGAATGGGCAATTCTTTTTCGAAGTTCTTCATCTTCTGACACTTTCTCCAGTATTAGATGCTGTGAGAAATATGAGGGGTCATTTCTGTGTAGCCAGATACTGACATGATGGCCAGAAGGGCCACCCTCATTCTCTGGTATACTTGCCTTAGCTGCAGCCACTTCCTTTTGTGTTCCCGAGATTTTTATAAGCCTTGACAGTAGTAACGTTCCCTCTGATTCTTTATCGCATGTAATTTTGGCTCCAGAAGCCTTACAGATAGAACGAATGGTCTCACCACCTCTCCCTACATTAATACAGAAAAGCCTGTCATTCCTTGAGTCCAACATTCACTAGAAGAGAAATCACTATTTTGTACATGTTACAAAAGTCAGTTCTCATAATCAATTTGAATAGAACGTAAGATAGTAAATAGGAGTAAGGAGCTACTAAAGTAATTACTGGAGAAAAGAGAATATGGGACTGTTTTAACCATTTTCTTTAAACTTATGCTTTGGCCAGATTAACTTCAGGATATTCCCACTTGTTGGCTACACAGCAGCTATACTTTCTATTTTCATCTGTAAGACACATGGTATAGAATGTGTCAGACCCTGAAATGAGGAGGACAGGATACTTCTTTGCCTCTAATAGCAGCACTAAGGAATGATCCAGGGAAAAACTTAACAAGGACTCTCTACAGGTATCTCTAGCTGTTGTGGGAATTAGGCCATTTGGTCTAATGACCAGTGGAATGGGTTGGCCTGATGGGTGTGGTGTCTTCTCTAAGGATGTGGCTTCCTGATGCCATGGCTAGATGACCTGATCTGTAGTTTTCCCCATTCTTCCCTGGTGGAAAAGGCAGCGGTGCCACTTCATTCCGTATTCATGAGTGTGTTTTTTTCCATTTCATCCCTTATATGTCTGTGGGTTGTCACTTTATCTGGCACCCAACCTGGGGCTAGTTAGTAATAAGCCTGAGCCATCAGTCAAGCATTTGGAAATGGCTGCAGGACTGGGCAGGACATAGAAAAGCCTCCATTTACACCTAGCATCCCTGCAAATCTTATTTTGTGTGTACATGTGCAGTTTATATGAATCAGGGTGTACCACAGCATCTGTGTGGAGGTCAGAGGGCAACTTGGTTCTTTGCTTCCATCATGTGGGGCCTCATATGGAACAAGTTGTCAGGCTTAGCAATTTATCCACTGAGCCACCTTGCTGGCACATAAAAACCTATCTGAAAGACTCATCTTGCTTCTTGATTTTTAAAACACCAGTTGTGAAGAAAGCCAAGTTCTGAACTAAGTGTGTCTTTCTCCCCTAACAAAGTGAAGAGAAAGCCAGGAAAAACCCTTGGGAATGTGGGAAAGACATAGAAGGTAAAGAATAAAGAGGAAGCTGTCCAGTGGTACCTATGATTCTGCCCACAGATCGCTGGGGGACTGAGAGTTGCTCAAACACCGGGGTGTTTTCTGTCAGGATCTGATGGATTGCTGCCTTGGCCTTGCACACCTGAACAGGAAAACCACTGATAAGCAGCACTCGCTCATCACCTACATCCTCCGTGTCCACGTCAATCCGAGCGCCTGTCTGTTTCCGCAGCTGCAGAGAGGAGGCGGCATGTACTTTATAGAACTTCAATTTGGGCCTAGTTAATGACATTCTATCAAACCTGGAGGCAGGTGGAGCTGGACATAGCCTCAGTTAAATTAAGAAAGTATCAATGGCCTTCATTTACTTGTATTTATGCGTGAAGATTAGTGACAAAGGTAATCCCAATAGTAGTTAACTTAAAACCATTTCTGTGTTTACAACTCATTTGCTCTCTTGGTATGGATCAGCAAATAAAGATTTTCTTTTTCTGCTAGAGAGCAAACCCAGGTCCTCCCAGAGCTAATAAATACTTTAGTGATGACCCACATCCCTATTAAAGAGACTTTTGCTTTCTTGACATTTCAGTTAAACAATGGAAGACGGAATAGCTAGGTAGCAATCTTTATTGTCATTTAATGGGAACTCATTAACTACCTAATAAAAATTCATGCTATATAAAGCTGAGAATCATCTAATCAAATACTATTTCAAGCTTAGTCATCTACCATCTGAGGAGAGGTACTAATTTTTAGAAAGAAAACAGCGCAGTTAGCTTAACAAGTTCCTGTATTTTTTCTTTTAAAATATATAGACAGTGTGGGTATTCTGTGTAATGTGGTCAGAGGAAGGAAACATGAATAGATAGAAAACCATCTGCCAGCTCATACACTTACCTGTTTAATATTGGCTCCTTGTCGACCAATGATGAGCTTCACAGCCTCCTGGGGAACTCGCATCTCTATCTCAATATCATCTTCTCCAACAAATGTCAGTCGTTCTTCTGTGAAGACCATGACAGACCAGACTTAAATACACTAAAGCTACTACTTACTATCCCTTCCTGAGTCAGGCTGTCAGAGATGATAATCCAAGACACAAACTGTGGATCTCAACCACAATGCAAGACATAGAAACTGAATGGTAATTACAAGGTTCCAAAGACGAGATGGGCCTGGGTGTAATAGCTCAGAAGTAGAGGTGCAGAGTATACACAAGGGCAACTTTAATCCCCAGCACTCTATCTGCCCTCCTCCAAAGAGAATTTGGCATTTTCTCTTTGGGATACTATTTCAGATTCTAAAATGGGAAAAGATTCTGAAGAACAAAAGTTTTTAGCTTTTAGGATGCTACTCTAAGATAACTTCTATAGAGCAATAAAAGCTAAAAGTTGTCTGAGGCATTCATTAGTCTAAAAACTTATTTTTATAATAGTCATTTCTTTGGGGGGCGTTCAGCAGCAGAATGAGTATATATATATATATATATATATATATATATATATTCAATAATCACATAGTTGGGTTTGCTAAGGAAAGAATCAATGACATCATGAGTTTCTTCCATAAACTAGCTTTCCAGTATCAACAGAAATGACATTTTCAAACATTTCTCACACAAAATGAATTATTTAACAAACAGTACTGGTGTGGCAAAGGCAGCTTTCATTTCAGCTTAACAACGCAGATGGAACAGGCACTGTATGGGTCCACATACCTCTGCTTTCCCTGTATCGGCGGTATAGGATGTAGGCAATTGCCGCACTTGCTGGGACTCCAAGGCCCAGGGCTATTTTTTGAATAGTGGACAGCCTTGTCCATGAAGTGGCCATTTTCTACTGTATTCTGAAACAAACAAATCAAGAAGTAGTTTTTTTACCACCAACTTGTCTTGTTGGCAGAGAGGCATGAGAACACACTGTATTAAAAACAAAAACTAAAAAACACCCACTACGAAGCCAGACAGTGGTGGTGCACCGCCTTTAATCCTGGCATTCAGGAGGCAGAGGCCGGAAGATTTCTGAGTTCAAAGGCAGCCTGGCTGGCCTTTAGAGTAAGTTCCAGGACATGTAGGGGTACATAGGAAACCCTGTCTCAAAAAACAAGAAATAAAATAACCAAACCAAACAAAAAATCTTACCTGTCTATTTTCCCATTTCAAAAGCTCTAGTTAAAAAAAAAATCTATTTCATAGAAAAGTCTTAGGACATTTAAAAAATGTTAACTAAGGTACATGAAATTTATATAGCACCCATTTCACATTTGTGTGTGTGTGTGTGTGTGTGTGTGTGTGTGTGTGTGAAAAACTAATTCCTAAAGACAAAGGAGTTAAAAAAAAAACACATATATGTCCATCTTCAGGTCAAAGCATTTGTGGTGTTGAGCAGCCAGGGTTTGTGTAGCCTTGGCTGTCCTGGAACTAGCTCTGTAGACCAGGCTGGCCTTGAACAAGAGATGCCCTTGCCTTTTCCTCCGAGTGCTGGGATTAAAGGTGTGGGCTACCACCACCCAGCAATGTGGCTCTCAGCTGCCTAAATGTAAATTCCTTAATGGGATGAAAGATACTTTGATTTTTGCCTGCCATCTTCATAGACTCTTTTTTATTCTATATTTGCTAGGGGAATAGGATCTACTTACATATCTTCCTCTGACAAATGTCACCTGTGTATTCCTATTTCTTGCCAGTGTCCCTAATCAAGTTCTAGTCTTTCAAGTTTCATCTTTTACACTATCACCTCTTCTGAAGCTTTAGGGATTTTAGGGATTCCTAGTGCTGACTAATGTAGATATTACTACTCCATAGTACCTGTCTGTTACCCTGCTTCTTCTAAACTAGGTTTTACTAGTGCAGTTAAAGCACATTAAGCACTTCCATGTGCTAGACACTACTGTGGCAGTAGGAACAAAGAAAAAAAATAAATGTGCTTAATAGCTACTATCCTAGCCACTTTATATGCATAAATTATTCAATATTCACACAACCTTGTAAAGTAGGGAATAACCTCATTTTTATAGAGGTGCACATTTACCTATCACCCAGAATTTGAGTTATTTGCTTATGAAAAGTCTAGTCAAGTAATTTCAGAAATGTATTTTTAACTTTCCTTGTACTTAGAGGTTCAGGGTAACAATATATAGTTCTCTATTTTGGTCAACTTCAATTAAAAAAGTGGTAGAGGGCTGGGCAGTGGTGATGCATGCCTTTAATCCTAGCACTTGGGAGGCAGAGGCAGGCCGATCTCTGAGTGCTAAGCCAGCCTGGTCTACAGTGTGAGTTCCAGGCTCCAAAGCAATACAGAGAAACCCTGTCTCGAAAAACCATACCAAACAAAAAACAAAACAAAACAAAACAAAAAGAAAAAAACAAACTGGGATGGATCATAAAGACTACTTCATTCCATTCATGTAACAATTAGGGAAGCCTGAGGCTTATAAATATAAGGGGACTTTACTTTACTACGATCACATAGCTGGTCTATCATTTCTAGAATATGCAAGGGGGGGTAATTGTTCTGAAGGCCAATCATGATTGCATCTCCTTGTTGAGGCCCTTCAGTTCTATCAGAACTACAGTCATACAGTTGAAGATTGAATGCATCAGGCTTCCCTTGACTGGATTAGCCATTTTACTGCTCCCCATAATTCTTATTTAATAGCTCTGTCTATTAGAAGAATGAACTGTAAGCAGTAAGTGGGTACACAGACCAATAGATGACTAGAGCAGATAAAGACAATTGATTTTATAAGGGGGCAAAGTCAAGGAGATCATTACAGGTTTCAGAATGGGACACTGATGATTTTTGTCAAGAGAATATCACAAGGGCAGGTTTGTTGAGTGATATCCATTTGAACCAACAGGCGAATCTAACTTCAGATATTACAAATAAATTTGTGCTGCGTTACCGTTGCTATCTTAAGGAATGGGTTAATGAACTCAAACCAGGCAAACAAACAACAATTTTACTTAAACACTGATGAGGACTGAGCCTGGTGTGGAAACACATGCTTATAACCCCAGCACCAAGGAAGTGGAGGCAGAAGGATCTGAAGCCAGGCAATGGCGGCAGAATTTAATCCTAGCAGCCACACTAGTTAGCCATAGAGGCCAGGCAGTGGTGGGACACACCTTTAATCCTAACACGCAGGAGACAGAGGCAGACAGATCTGTTATTTGAAGGCCTCCCTGAACTACACGAAATTGATCCAGTCTAAAACAGAAACAACTCACACAAAGGTTTTTTCAGTATTTGAGATCCCACTCTTTTAATCCCAGCACAAGTTGGGAGACAGGAGCTCAGTGCAGTCAAAGATTTGGTAGAGACAGATGTAGTCTGAGGACAGGATCGCCCCTCAATATGAACATTGATGAGAACTCTCTAGTGGCTGGCCACTTTGCTTCTCAGATCTTCAGCTTTAAGCCCAATATCTGCCACTGGGTTTTTATTAGTAGTGCTACATCTTACAAACAAAGGAAGACTACAGGAAAAAATCAGTTCAAAGTAGGGTATTCTGGCGCTTGCCTGTACTTCCATCTCTCCTGAGGTAAAGGCTGGAGGAGTTCAAAGCCAGCTTGACACAGACCCTGTCACTAAATAAATAACGAAATACCCTGCAGCTGCAAACAGTCATCGGACTAAATTGGGGAAGGTAAAAGGCCCCTTGTTTCAAAAGGAGCCAGTCTAGGAGTGCAAACAGTTGTGGCGAGTGCCCTAGCGGCCACGGGGGCCTAGCCCCTGGGGCCAGAGCCCTTGCTCTGGGTCCAGTTACTATCTCCCAGCACAGCTGCCCCAGACGGTGACCCGTGCAGGACCCCGACACCCGGCCCTCGCCCCACGCGTCCCGCCCTCAATCCAGCACTTCTGCCTCCCAGCTGCCAGGCTGCCCACCACCCAGCCTCTCCCAAGCCCCAAACTCCTCTCTCGAGCTCAGCCTTTACCTTTCGTCCGGAGTCCCGCGCCTTCGCCTCGCACCTCACTCGCGCCGCTATCCGGTCGCTACCACGGCGCAGCAGCCTAGCAGGCGGCTATTTAGCAGCCTCTTGCCCCGCCCCCGAGGCACGCCCGCACCAATCAACGCCTGTCTTGAAGTCTGACCAATCGCGCTCCCACCCCGCAGCCAATCCTTGCACGGGCTGCGGTGAGCGATGGGAGCTGAAATCCAATGACCCGGATGAAAAGTCCGAGCCGGCCCACCTCACTAGCCAGTCAGAGCAGCGGGAAGCAGATGGTGTTAATGGAGCTTGCACCTGCCGAGAATTAAGTAGCCAACTGGAGGATCCTGGAGTCCTCGGATCTCCTCTGAGCTCGGCCTCAACCCGCAAGGGACTTGGATCACTCGTGGGTGTTCCCTGCTCTGTTGAATCCCTTCATTGGCCTGGGGGAAGCCGCTTCGTGGTGGGCTGTGCGGCTCCAATTACCAGTTGAGAATTTCTGTCGGGGCAGTGGTGGCGCACGCCTTTAATCCCGGCAGAGGCTGGCTGATCTCTGTGAGTTCGAGGCCAGCCTGGTCTACAGAGCTACACAGAGAAAACCTGTCTCGAGAAACAAACAAAAAACAAAATTTCTGCCTGGATCCTTCCCCATGCCCATCTTGGCTAGGAGACAGGAAGACAACTACGTTTAAAGGAGTGGAATGGGGGCGGACGCTGCACCGCACTGCGGCCGAGCCCTGGACGCTCCACGAGGACAGAAAGTCACTGTGGCCACCACCCGGGTAAGGGAGCTGCGGGTTGAGCGCACCCGCGGCCCGCTTGCCCTGATCCCGGCCCGCGGAAGGGGGAGGCTTTGGCTGGCAGCAGTTTGCTTGAAACACTGAATTCCAGCCGCTGTCTGGGTCGTTCCCGGACCGTTAGGAACGGTTGGCCCTGCTACCGCCTTCGCACTGTGGCGAGGGCACAATCGCTCCGAGACACCGGGAGATGTTTTGAACTATCATCTGTCATGCCTGGAGCGTGATGAACACTCAATAAATGTTTGTTGAGTGACTACAGCATTGTGTCTGGTCATTCAGAAGTCTTTGGGTCAGTTTTCCCATTATTATTGTTACTATTGTTATTACTGTTATTTTAGAGACAGGTGTTTGGTATGTTGCCCAGGCTGTCCTCAGATTCTGTTTGCTCAGGTTCTTGAGTAGCTGGGAGGTACAGACAAGCTCGACTATCTAGTCATTCAGAAAAATATATTTGCATAAATGATACATGCACCTTCTAGAAGAGTCACAAGAAACAAAAGGTTATTGCAGAAAATGTCTCTTCAGAGGCAACCAGTATAACCAGTTTCTTGGGGAAATTTTCACAAGCCATTCCATAGTTAAAACACATGTAAATGTATTTTTTTACACAGTTGAAAACATGCTATATATATAATTTAGTAACTTTTTATATAATCTATAAAGTTTTTCATAGCAACATTCCTCTGTGCCTCATAGTTCAATCTCAAGATATGACATGAATGTAGATGTATTTAACCAGAACTTTAACATGTTCACTTTCAAACATACTTCACTTTGTATTTAAAAAATTTATTTTTAAGACAAGGTATGTCTATGTAGCCCTTGCTGACTTGGAACTCCCTGTGTAGACCAGTTTTGTTTGTTTGTTTTGTTTTGAGACAGAGACTCTCCATGTAGATCAGGCTGCCCGCCAACTCACAGAGATCCACCTGGGCTTATATCACCATGCTCAAGTTCATTTTGCTTTTACATGACAATATCTCCATGGTAAACACTTAAGAATGAAACAGCTCAAAAGAAGTGTGCCTTATTACTTCATTTGGATGTACACAGCTTTGCAAAGATTTTTCCACCAAGATTTTTCCAATTTTCATTCAATTAA